GCCGTAACTTAAAATTTTGTGTATGAAGCTATGTTCAGATTCTAAGCTACTTTAAGGGGCTAGATCCAGAAGGAAATACCTATGCAGGCTGGGCAGGCTTTTAAGTGTTGTGAATGATGGGTCTGCGGAATTCACATTTCGCCACTGTGCAAGAGCAAAAAAGGGAGAAAGAGGGGGCGAAGGTTGCAATAGGGAGTTAGCAAACGCTTTGGGAATGGAGGAGAGAGAGGACTTGAGCTCTTTGTGCTTTGGAAGACTATGCTGGACTCCTCTATTCATCCCTTCTTTCTGGCTTTGCTGCATTTCATCTCACCTTTCTGATCTCATCCAAGGCCCATTTAAATCAATTGTCAGGCCCAAAATGCAGCTGCTAAAATGATATTTCTCACTGCTGTTTTCAAATGGCTTCATTAGCCTCCCATCCCCTTCCACAGCAAGTTCAAGCTTCTTGTTCTCACTATTATGGCTCTGCAAAGCCCTACCTGCCTGCTATCTCTACTCCAAAGAGCTAGCACAGTCCTCCCCGTTCCCGTTGCTGACCCCTTTCTCCCAGGTCTCCCTCCTAGAAGCCTCTTTTGCATCCTTCTGCTTTGGCTTCATGCTTTCCTGCAGGCTACTCGGTGTGCTGAGAATTCCCTCCCTCTCTGCCTTGAAATCCTCTTTAAAGCTCACTTCCTCCATGAAGCCTTTCAGTGGCCTTTCCCCAAAGAATTATAAAAACCAAGAACAAAACCTGCACTGCTTCCAGACTGTAGCTATGCAACATGGTTTGGAATTGAATTGTCCTTTTAGGGTTGGCAGCTGACTTGATCTGTGTGTATAGAGCTGAGTATGCTGACAGTGCCCAATAAATGATAAGGTAGCAGCCTCCATGACTACATAGCCAGTGTTTTCTCCTCATCAATAGAAGGTACACGTGCACCAAGGGTAAAATTTTCAAATGTGCATAAGTGACTTAGTAGCCTCGGTCCCAATTTCAAGTGTCTGAGTCACTTGGAAGCCTAAATTTCATTCAAAATCAATGAGATTTAAGCTGTTCAGTGCATAAGTCACTGAAAAATGGGACTGAGACTCCTAAATCACTTAGGTGCTTTTTAAAATTTGGGCCCCAGACAATACTGAATGCATTTTCCCTCCCAGTGATCATTCTTGCTCTGCAGAGTAACATCTCGGGTTGTATGATCAGAATCCCAAAACTGGAAGCAAACATGTCACCACTTGCAGTCCCTGATGAGGATTTCCAGCTGGATGTGCTGAAATTACAAGGTCAACACATTTCAGAGTAAAAAACAGCCTTTTTTCAGCATAATTCACCAGGTACTTTTACTGCTTAGCGCATTGACCCATCCTACCCATCTCCAGTAGAATCTAGCACCTTTAATGCAGAGATGGTATCTGTGCTGATTCTAATACAACAAAATACATATGTGAATAAATCATATACATTTATTCTAAGTTCAGCATGAATACTGTGTTTCTGAAGGGACTTATAAATTTTTCACAAAGTTGTAAACCTACATATGCTAAAGGCATGAGAGGGAGAATAAAAGCAATGCCTGGATATAATTTATCATATACTTTATTTACAGTATGAAAACTTTTAAACTTTATATGTGTGTGATTCAGTGGCCTGATACATCTATAAGAGAGGTACGGGAAAGACATTATTCATAGCTTTCTTAAAACTTTTAAAAGGTGTGTTTATAAAAAGTTGTTTCCCTCTTCTGAGGACGCTTTTTTAGAAGTGCTTTAGGATTTTCTGAAAGTCTTTGTGTTTTCATTGAAAGAGACCTTTGCAAAAATGTACTGATAAAGAATGAAAATTCTCTCACTCTCAGTCACTCCATAAACTTCATTTAATCAAATCCCTATGAGATCGCTTTGGTAACCCATGGTTTTAAAATGTTAAGACCTGACATTTGTTGAGAATTATAGCTAACAAAGATACCAAACAAAGCTTCAAGTAGCTGCCTCTGCTTGGGGACAAAAAGCCCCAGACAAAGCAAGCAGGTGAAAACAAACACAGGATATTCCAGAAGAATAGGCAGACTAGATTAATTAACAGTCAAGAGATAATTGGCTTCTGCAAAAAGATTTCCTGCTAAATGAGTTAAAGAAAAGCATTTTTCCATCTGGTGTCCAGGGCTTGAAAAATTTACCCAACGCCCACTAGCCCAAACTCTTAGTCAGCTAAACAGAGTGAAAAATAGCTGAGCCACCCTGTCTCAAACCATACTTAGCCCCAAAGCCATAGTCCAGCATTTAAAAGGAACAAAACTGTTGCATACTGTTTTTGACCTCTGTTTAACTGTAACATATTGTCAATTTTCTATTTAATCCTTTCTAAATTATAATTTGCCTCCCTTGCTTTTATTTTACCTTCTTTCCCATCCTGACTTCACCTTTTTCTTTTTATTTCCTATAACAGATCATAGAATATCTTTCTCTTTGTAGTTTTCCAGGTGTTTTCTCTTTTTCTTCTCATTCTCTACTTTGTGTTCTCTGCCTCTTCCAATATATTTTCTGTCTCTACTTCCCCTCCCCCCCCACTTAGCTCTGCAAAATCAGTCAATCTCTCTCTTTCAATCTCCTCTTTTAATTTATCCTATCTGCTGTTGAGCTCAGGAGGGGAGGAGAAGATTACAGGGTCAAAGTCCTTTTTATCAACCCATCCAGGTGAGCAGGCAACTACCTCAATCCCAGCTGCTGGGAAAGGAGAAGGTGCTTGTGATGCCTACTAAGATGCTGTCCCTAGATCCTGTCTTTTGTATCCACCTCTGACAAGTGGGGGTCCTGTCTATTTGTAGTTCCCTAGCCCCTAGACCGTCTCTGGCTGTTAGCAAGGAACAAAGAGCATTCTTTCTCTCACTATTCCCATCTACTGTCCAAGAGTTTCCGGTGCCTGCCTGGGTTGGGAGGTTTCCACTACTCTAACACTCCCGCAGCCTCTCCTGTGTGATGGGATGGGTCTCCGCTGCTTCCCTTAGCTTGGTGGCCATTGCAAGTGGTGTGTCTCCTTCCCATAGTCTGTTTGAGCCTTCCTCTCCGGTGACAAGCTCCAGCTGCAATTCATTGCTCTCCCAGGCTTTGATAGAATGAAATTGCCTGGATTCTTGTCCATTTCACTGCTGCAAACAGGTTTCTGAATAGCTGCACGGAAAACAGAAGATTCATGTGTCACTCTCCTGCAGCAGCTTGGAAAAATCCCTCTGAGCAGTAGAGGCACAAAAGCATGTTGTGTGTAGACTCAGAAGGATGACACTGCATTAATTTACATCTGCAGCTCACATATGAATGATTATTGTCACACCTATACAGACTAGAAACTTGTTTTTGAAATGCAAATTTAGATTCTACTAGAGTTGATGTCACATGGCCAAGAAATTTTCTACTTGTATCAGCCAAGTTGATTTTCAAGCCTTTCTAGCATCAAATGTGTAGTTTTAGTTTTGGCTTTGACTGTGCGTCAAATCCATTGTATCTGCCAAAGCAGGCAATGCCTTGGATGATGGTTAAATCTGAGCAAATATAGTTCTGCCTCTCACATCATGGTTCATTTTTATTTCTCTTTTAGCTAAACTACTATTAATTCAAATACAAAGGTGCAACAAAGTTCTTGTCACTGTATGAACTGCACACTTTACAAATATATAGAATAGTTATAGAGTAAATATCATTTTTCTAAATAGCTTTAGAAATTTTCTAACCTGTGTCCTCAGATAGCAACCTATTTTTGTTTTGTTTTTGTTTTGTTTTACTTTAAAAATTCACAGCCATCATGTGAGGCCAGATAGACTTTCTTTTCCTTTTTTCTTATCTGAGGTTGTTGACCTCAGGAGAGGAGGAGAAGGTTATAGGGTCAAAGTCTTTTCCTCCTTGGAGCTTGCTGCTTGCTGGGAGAAGACTGGCTGGAGAATAGATGTTTTAGAACAGGGGTTGAGGGTCATGATTTTAATTCTGTTAGGGAACAGCTGGTTTGAGTTTCTTTCCACTTCTATCTTCCCTCCATCCCTCACAAATCCATGGAGAGAGAAAAATTTGTTCAGAGGGAAGCAGTAACACAAAAATACACAATTCCAGTGTTTTAGCACATCAAATGTATCATCTTTTTGTGGGGCTTCATGTTAGGCGGGAAAAGAGAGCATTATTGAAATATTTGGAAAATACTGTTTTATACACTGGATTCAGTTTGAATTACAATGCTAGAGGTTTGCTTATTTACCTGCCAAATGTCAAATTGTTAATAGTAATTCATGTTCCACTGCCTTTTAATGGCAAACAACACGTACTATATTACTTTGTAATTTACTGAGATAAAGCTAATTATAAATGTATTGTATTAAAGTTTATTTACAAGGGACTGAAGAAAGGTCATTTGACTTGGCTATTTCTATTTAGATTTTTTTTCATCTTTGCATGCTGCTTTCATACACTAAGACCAAAGAGAAAGAGAGAAGCTCACAACTCTCAAATGAATGGCAAACTAGGAACAGATTTTTTTGTCTGCACTCCTCTGAAACATTGGCCTTGGGCTATGTTGGTGTGTGGCTCAACAGCAATCAGAGGTCATAATTTCATTGGCGGTTAGCATCAGGTTTAATTTTTCTAATATGTTACATTTACCAAATTGTCTGGTTTCAGTTATACTTATGCACTGACTGAATCAGCTTTGAGCAGCATGATGTTTTAAGGTACCTGAAAGGGTACAAGAACATTTATGGAACACATACACTAATTGTTTTTAACCACTTTCCTTTCTAAATACAAAAATGTGTTTTCAGAAAGCCATATAATAGTAGTAGTAGTAGTTAATGACAGTGCACTTTTTTCTATGAATGGAACATAAAAAATGAGTAAAATTGTTGATTTAACAAGACTGCCATCTACTGATTTATCCAATCAAAAAAAGCCCCTGATGAGCAGATCTTTAAGCCTTTTGTTTTTTTGTTTTTTTTAATTTAGCCTAATAATAATTAATAAGGAAAAATCTGTCATCTTAGGAATGCGACCAGGTTCATATAGATGATGTGTCTTCAGATGACAACGGCCAAGACTTAAGGTAAGTCAGAACCGACCAAGATAATATATTGGGTTTTGCGAGTTGTTTTCCTGGAAAAATGGTAAAATACCATGAAACATATATTGGGTCAAGTTCTGCCTTCATTTATGCCTTTGAAACTCCATCAATGTCACTAGTATACCTGACCGTTAATTTTGGTTCAACATATTTTGTTAATCTGGGAGTTTTCTTCATTCTAAATAGCACCTATAACTTCGGAACAGACGGCTTTCCTGCAGCAGCCACCAGCGCTAATTTATGCCTAGCAACGGGTGTGCGTGGAGGAGTGGACTGGATGAGAAAATTGGCCTTCCGTTACAGACGCGTAAAAGAAATCTACAACACCTACAAAAATAATGTTGGAGGCAAGTGTCCATCATAAATATTACTCATCTGTTTCTCGAAAGACAAATGAGAAGTTATAAATGAAAAGGATTAACCTTGCCTTTGTTTGCTGATCCTTTTCAACATGATTCTGTTTACTTAGAGAACTGTTCAGTTTGTAGTCTCTACAGAAAACTGTTCTTACAACTAATGGAAGCAGAAGGAAATAACAGAAAGGTATCTGAGTTTAAATACCGACACATTATTGAGTACCCTTTTCTACACCACAGGTCTTCTTGGTCCCGCAAAGAGAGAAGCTTGGTTGCAACTTAGAGCAGAAATTGAAGCTCTTACAGATTCTTGGTTAACACTTGCACTGAAAGCACTCACACTTATTCATTCTAGGTAAGTATATAAGAGTTATCATGGCAGCACAGAATATTCATGAAACCTAACAATGTGTTACACACACAAAACTTCATTAAAAGAACATTACGTTTACACAAGCAAGCACTCAAAAATTAGAAAATGCCACAATCAAGTTTGATTATGCAATCTTAATTGGGCCTCCTTGTTGCATATGCATTATGATACAATGTTTAATTACATGATTACATACTATTTTTCCCACAGAATTCTCTGCCTCATTTAGTGAGCTGCTCTTCAATACTTTGTTTTCTCTTCATTTTGTGGCCCTGGGACTTCTTTACAGCATACTATTCAAACTGACATAAAGACAAAATTAATCATTTCCTCATGTGCTTTTCTGTTGCAGTCATCACTGTACATCTGAGTGCTTAACAAACATTAATGAATTTATTTTTACAACACCCCTGTTAGGTGAGGGTATTATCCCCATTTTATAGAGGGGAAATTGAGGCACAGAGAGATTAAGATCAAAAGAATCCATTTGGGTGTCAAATTTAAGACACCTGGGACCTGATTTCTTAGAGTAATTAGTATTTACATAGCTTTTCCTATATTCAAAGAACAGATCTCATTGACTTCAGTTGCAGCCATGAGCGCTCAGCCTTTCTGCAAATCAGACCAAGAGTCTCAAGTCAAGCATCAAGAAACAAAGGAATACACAATTAGCGACCAACCCCTGTGCAAAGTTTGGTTTAAAAGATGTAACCAGAAACACAAAAGAACTCTGTGGCAGATGCAGGGATAGAATCCAGTTCTCCAGGGCAACATTCAGCTGTCTTAATTCTGAGACCAGCTGTTCTCTTCCAGAAGTCCCCTGCCTTGTTCACTACAGATCTTCCAATCTCTGCAAAAGATGAGGCGAGGGTCTTACAGAAAACAGTTTCCTTCCCCACAAAGTGCCCCCAGAGCAGGTCTGTCCTGAGGCAAGGGTCCTGTGGGGAAAAAAAAGAGTACAGTAAAAGCTGTGTTATCCAGCCCTGTACCAACCAGAAAGCTCTATAAACCGGCTTTTCTAATCTCCATAGAAAGTCCAGTTTATAGTCCTGGTTGGGGTGGGGCCAGCAGGCTCCCTACCTGACTCCATGTGGCTCCCCAGAAGACATGTCGCTGCTGCTCCTAGGCAGAGGAATGGCCACGAGGGGTTTGGAGTGCGGGGTTGGGGTGTGGGCTCTGGAAGGGAGTTTGGGTGCGGGAGGGGGCTCACCTCGGGCGGCTCCCCACAAGCGGCAACCTGTCCCTGCTGCTCCTAGGCAGAGGAATGGCAGGCGGCTCTGTGCACTGCTTCTGTCCCGCCCTGAGTTCTGGCTCTGCAGCTCCCATTGGCCAGGAACCACGGCCAATGGGAGATGCAGGGGCGGCACCTGCAGGTGGAGACAGTGTGCAGAGCCACCTGCTGTACCTCTGCCTAGGAGCAGATGGGACAGGTCGCTACTTGCGGGGAGCCGCCCTCTGACATTTCCCAACTGTTCAGTGCTTGAATTGCAATTAATAATGTTGTTTTAATGTAGACTTTTGTGAGTACTTTCTAAGTTTTTAAAAAAGCAAATTAGAAAAAAACAGAAGTTTCATCGTGTGGCATCTTATTAATGGCCACGTGGGTGGTCAGAAGGGTTGGAACCCTTACATCTACCACAAAAGACCTCTGTCACTTTAGCTGATGGAGTAACTGTAGCAGGAGTAGGTCATCCTCTCTGTGGATCAGCACTAGATGCAGGTGGGTTGCTTTGCCAGTGGGCTTCACAGATATTTGCTGACAGCAGCAGAATGGTGAAACTCAGGGGTGTGTGGTTCCATTCCAAGCTCTAGAAAGGATTATGCTGTCGTGGATACGCTCTCCTCCCCATACCCACCCCAATCTTCACCCCTTCTACCTTAACCCTTCCAATCTGTCCCTGCCCCAGCCTGTCTGTACCGCACTTCTGGCTCCTCATCCCAGTTCCATTCTCTTCACCTTTAGTCCCAGTTTTCATTCTTCAGGCCGCTGATCCCAGGCTTCTTGCCCTGTAAGTCCTTGCCTTATCCCTCCAAACTCCCAGACTGCCTCCCCCCTTAGCCTGCTTCCTGTCTCCTTGTCCAGCTGTTCCCAGTCCCCTCCACTCACCTTCCTAACTCCTTGTTGCCAATCTCCTTGCCCAGCCAGTGCCAGTTCCCTCCCCCACTCCCTGACCTCTCTGTCTCTGTCTCTCTCGTTCTCATTTCCCAGCTCCATGGTCTCCAGTCACCACCCACCCACATTTCCCATCCCCATTTGCACCCAGTCTCCTTCCCTGGGCTTCATTGTCCTCATCTCCTCTGGCTCCTTGGCCCAGTCTCTCTCTCCATTCAGTCCCAGTTCTCCCCTGTAATGTGGCCCCTTATCAGAGCTGTCTCCTCTCCATTCCCATTCTCCCCCCCACACACACTCCAGTTCTGCATCCTATCCCTGTTCCCCCCTACCCTCCGTCTCCCTTAACTCCCACCCCATTACTCTCCCCAACTCCCAGACCTAGTCTCCTTTCCTATCCAGTCCTAGTCTGCATCCCGGGTTCCCAGTCCCAGTTTCTGCCCTCTGCCAGCCTCCAATTCCAGTCTTCATCCCCTGGACTCCCTGTCCCAATATACTTCTCCAACACTGCGTCTCAGAGCCCTAAGTCTGGCCCTTCTCCTCTTGGTTTTTGAATTGGATGGCTTCTTCCTCCACACTTCCTGGGTGCCAGAACTGGGATGGGTGGTCATTAAGAGCACAGGAGAGACAGGCTCCATACTCTCAGTTCTAGTGCCTGGGTCCACACCAGCCCAGAGCAGCCATTATAGGAAAAGTCCAGCTTCACCTCTGTAGCTCTGGGCTGGAGGAAGCATGCTCAGTCACCCTGTGGGGATGGTGTGTGCACATTCCAATCACACAGGAACTATGAGGGGATGGAGCATCTTCAGTGGCTCTGTGCGGATGATACCTGTGCAGTCTGGTCATCATTAGGAGCTGTGAGAGACTAGAGCATGCTCAATAAGGACGGAATCTTCTGAGGTTTTATCTTTTAAACTCTAGCAAGTCTCTTCTGAGCATGTGTGAACTGTGATTTTATTCTGAGGTTTATGACTTGGCCAAATGTGGCTGAGTTTTCATGATGATGGTAAAAGGCACATCCCTGACATAAAGGTTCCACTCCCTTGCCAAATTTCAAATCCCTGCTCCTACTAACATTGGAACCACTGCACTTCACTCCCAGGCAGGGCACCAGACATTACTGGTGGCTTTCAGCCTCAAGGCATCCCTAATCCTTGCAGCCCTGCACTCGGCCCCTCTAATAGCCCTGCTCTCTGGCTGTGCTCCGAAGTATGGGGGCACTAGAACTTTCCAAAGAGAACTAGGAAATTTTTCACAGTAAAAAACATAGTATTTTTTCCTTGCCTCATTCTCAGAAACAACTGAACGCTTCTGGCTGAAATTTTCAAAAATAAAATAAAAAAAACCTGAGGCAGACATGGAAATTTTCATCCTGAATAGTTAAATTTGACAAAGTTATAAGCAACTGAAAATAGGGTCTTATAATGGGAAGTGTTGTGCAACCTTAATAATAGGTAGCGTTAACAATCTGCCTGTAATGCCTATGGTTTAGGAGATACTGCATGGTGTACATGGTCTGTGAGTCAGGAGATTTGAGTTCTTTTCCCTCTTCAGCAAATGTCCTGCTGTGTGCACGTGACATTTCTGTGTCTCAATTTCTACACCTGTAAAATGGGGATAATTCTTCAAGTAGTGTCCCTAGGACTGCTCCACAGTAGCTTGTGTCCCTGCACTGCTGGTTGGCGAACATTGGCAGCTGTGTACATTAGGCCCACACATGCACTGTCTCTCATCATGCCCTGCCACATGATCTAACCCTCCTCAGTTCCTTGTCAACTGCCCCTGGCTAGAGATGGGACCATTAGCAGTCTGTTTGTGATCGTTAATTTCTTTAGTGTTTCTAGTTTGTTAGTGTCCTTAGTCTTAGCTGTAGTCTCTTTTATTTTCTCTACCCCCAATATAAAAAAAAAGACTTTATTTCCCCCCCTTTTTCATTGGGGGCCCCTTCCCCAATGGTCTAGTTCACCAGACTTCAAGAAGTGCCTCTCCTACAAAGAGGCCATCCCTGTGGCAGACAAGCACTCGCGCAGCGTACACTGCCTCGGGGAAGGCCACATCACACAGAAGTGTGGTGTCTGCCAGCAACTCAGACCCAGGTCTCACAAGGACAGAGAGTTGAGACAGAAGATCATCTTCATGGAGGCAGCCATCTAGCCCTCCCTAAACCCTCACCAAGAGTCACCTGGCAGATGTGAGTCTTCCCCACAGCCCTCAACATCCAAGGATGGGTCAAAGAAATCAGCCACAGACCCCTCTTGTAAAGTCATTCAAAAAGAGAGCTGTGGGTCACCAGAGTGAGCTCCGAGCTAGCCACAAAAGATCTCCAGCACACTCAGTACCATTGGCACCGAGACAGTCCCAGCTCACAAAGATCAGGAGTGTCAGGTACCGTTGACAGGCCTAAGGACCTAATGGGCACTGGCACTGAGTCAACAGAACCAACTGACAAAGATAGGAGCAAACGGCATTCCAGTAAGAAGATGCTGCCGGTATATGATGTTCCTTTGGCACCGTCATCGGTCTGTATGGGCAAGATCCCCGACACGCTCTGTACCACCAATGGCACTGGGTCAGTCAGCTCCACTAGCATTTCGGCACTCAAGAGACCTCCGGGTATCTAGCATACCAGACTCTCCTCTTCTTGGCACCGGGACCTTGGCACAGCATCTCCCCCTAGTGTAGGAGTCTTCTCCAGTACCCTGCCATGCACCCCCTCTTTTGAGTGAGGAGTCAGTGAGCCAGAGGAGACAGTTTCCCACTATTCCCATGCTCCCTATTGTGCCCACTCCCACTGCCAAGAGGCTCCGAGAGTATACTGCCTCAGTGGCTGTACTGGGATCCCTGGGCTACATATTGCCCCATTCTTCTTGAGCTCCCAGCCTTGCTCGTACCCCCCAAGACATTCCCCCTCGGCTACGGCATCTAGAACCTTGGAACTCCCAGAGGAGATTGCTGAGAGCAGGAGGGCGGAATTGAGGAAAATGTGACTCCAAGGACCAACAACATCTCATCCTCTTCCTCCCCAGATGAAGCATTCATGTCCCTGCCACTGTGCTTAGCTGATGATTTCCGGCTTTTCCAGTACTTGGGAAAAAGGGTTGGAAGAAGTCAAGGACACCCATCACAAACTCCGTGACATATTACACTCTTCCTCGGCCTCTAAAATAGCCTTCCCCATCAAGGAGGCTTGACAGGACCTTGAAAAAACCATATGGCAGACCCCAGCATCAGTGACACCTACTTGTAAACAGGCTGATAAAAAATATTACATACCAGTTAAGGGGATGGAATTTCTTTTCTTCCCCTCTCCCCCAAACTCAATAGCTGTGGATGCAGTAAACTCCTGGGGCTATGAGCACCAAATGATATCTGATAGGGATTGGAAGCACTTGGACCTCTTTGGGAGGAAGGCCTATTCCTCGGTCACACTACATTTTCGAATAGCTAATTGTCGAGCCTTAACAATGAAATACATCTACATCGACTATTGGAAACCTGACAACTTTATTGATCAGTTTCCAGAGTCACAGCACAACCAGTTCAAAGCTATCATCGAGGAAGGACAACTGGTAGCCCAAACAGTGCTACAGACTGCCTTCAATGCAGCCAACACTGTGACCCAGTCCAGCTCCACTGCGGTGGTTATGCAATGTGCATCACAGCTTGCCAAAGTCAATATATCCCTGGATTGGTGAAAGGACCCAGCAGATGTTTGCAAAGGGATTCCTTTTGTGAAAATTTCCCCGTTGTTGCTTCTCACCACCGACGCATCCCTTATAGGATGAGGCACACATCTAAATGGCCTTACAACACAAGGCAAGTGGTCATCCATGGAGATATCCTTGTACATCAAGCTCCTCGAGCTCAGGGCATTCAGAAATGTCTGCACTCGTTTTCTCCCACTGATCACACACCAAAGTCCTAATAGACAACATAGCATGCATGTATTACATAAATTGACAAAGAGGAGCCAGGTTGCCCACCCTCTGCTCAGAAGCGATAAGGCTATGGAACTAACTGGTGCATCTCCACTACATTACGGTATCAGCAGATTACCTTCTGGGCACACAAAACTCTATAGAAGACATCCTAAGTTGCAAGTTCCCTCACAACCATGAATGGAAATAAACCCAGCAGTACTTTATGACCTATTTAGATGCTGGGGTACACTGACCACAGATCTGGTCGCTAATCACTTGAACAAGAAATGTCCACACTCCTGCTCCAGAGCAGGGATAGGACAACACTCCCTAGGTGATGCTCTCCTTCTTCCCTGGGACAGGGACCTTTTTTATGCCTTTCCTCTATTCCGACTACTGTAGAAAGTCCTGTTGAAAATAAAAAGGGAAGGCCCATACGTCGTATTGATTGATCCCACTTGGTCGAGACAGTCTTGGTACCCTTACCTGTCACATCGGGTGATGTGCCCACCAGTCTTTCTCCAATCCACTCCATACTTCCTCTCGCAGAACAAATGACACACTGTACATCCCAGCCTGGGCATTCTTCACCTCAAGGCTTGGCTCCTTCATGGTTCCAGTGCTTAGAGAACTGCTGCTCAAAGGAGGTACAAGAGGTATTTCTACACAATAGAAAGTCCTCAACATGCTGTACTTACCTGCAGAAGTGGTTCAGGTTTCGGATTTGGTGCAGTTCCCAACAAATCTCCCTGATATTCACAACCCTTCCAAAGATCTTAGATTATGTACTGACTCTAAAAAAAAAAATCGGGACTATCTCTTCCACCAACAAGTAGAAATGTTCATAATGCTATCAAACCCAACCACTAAATGATTCCTCCGGGGTATAATAAACCTTTCTCCACACTCCCGACACCCCACACCTACATGGGACCTAAACCTGGTGTTGAAAGGCCTAACTAGACCGCCCTTTGAACCCAGGGCCACCTGTTTGCTTATGTACCTGTTGAAGAAAATGGCCTTCCTGGTAGCAATCACCTCGACTAGGAGAAATAGCAGCTCTGATGGCACATCACCCTCCATGGTATTCTTTCAGGACAAGGTTACGCTCAGGCCGCACCAAAAATTCATCCCCAAGGTAACTGCCCTGTTCCATATAAACCAAGTGATTCACCTTCCGACTTTTTACCCCAAGCCTCACTGTGACAGCAAGGAGACTGTATTACACACACTAGATGTCAGACGGGCCCTAGCCTTTTACCTGGATAGGACGAAGTCTTTCAGGAAGTCCCCGAAGCTGTTCCTCTCTATTATGAAAAGATCCAAGGGCTCAGCAATATCAATCCAGAGACTCTCCAAGTGGGTCTCAGGCTGCATTAGACAATATAATCAGATTCATAACATGACCCCTCCAGATACTATTCGCATGCACTGCACAAGATCATTCTCATCTGTTGCCTTCTTCAAGAATGTCCCTATCTCAGAAATCTGTAGAGTATTGATGTTGGGCGTCAGTCTACACCTTTGCAGAACACCAAGCAATTACTGGGGACCTGCCTCCGATGCCATCTTTAGCTCCACAGTACTGTCATCTGTAACTGACCCAACTCTGAAGCCCCAGCCCTCCAGTAGGGATATTGCTTGGAAGTCACCTAAAGAGGAGCACCCATAGGGACACTACTTGAAGAAGAAGTTACGCAATAATGATGACCTTTCGAGATGTGTCCCTCATGGGTGCTCCCCAACCCACCCGCCTCCCCTCTACTTTGGAGTTCTTGTCAATGGCTCTGCAGTAGAGAAGGAACTGAGGGGGGTTAGCCTGCACATGCTGGATAGCCTTGTGGAGGGGCACGAGGAGAGACAGCCTCGTGGTGGGGCATAATGGACACTGCTACCAAAGTTCTCTGATCAGCAGTATAAGGATGCAAGCACACCTACAGTGGAGCACCCACAGGGAGACACATCTTGAAGAACCATTGTTACAGCACTAGGTGAGTAAATTTTTCTTCTGATTCCCTTCCTTTCTAAAGTACTTTGAGACTATGATGGTGAGGTTTTGTTGGGGGGAGAATGGAGGAAGGTTAATTTTTCCCTTTTTTTTTAGTGTTAATATATATATGTGTATATTTAAGGGTGTCTGTTTTTGTTTTCTTGCAGGACAAACTGTGTGAATATTCTAGTAACAACTACTCAACTTATTCCAGCTCTGGCAAAAGTCTTGTTGTATGGATTAGGGGTTGTATTTCCAATAGAAAATATTTACAGTGCAACTAAAATAGGTGAGGTTTTTTAATAACATGATGAAATATTTGAGGCCATAGTTCTAAATGAAAAACCATATGTATCTGTATATTCATATCACGATAGCATCTAGGGACTAATGATAAATAACATACCTTACAGTAGAACACCATTCATACTGAGGGATCCTACAGCACCTAACTGTCAGGGTGGTTAAGCACTGGACTAAATTGCCTAGGGAGGTTGTGGAATCTCCATCCTTGGGGATTTTTAAGAGCAGGTTGGACAAACACCTGGACAAAGACCAGGGATGGTCTAGATAATATTTAGTCCTGCCTTGAGGGCAGGGGACTCGACTAGAGGACCTATCGAGGTACCTTCCAGTTCTGTGATTCTATGATTTTACAAACTTAGGCCCTGTTCCAGCAAGCTTGGTAGACCCTTTGCTGAACTGGAGCCCTAAGCTACTATATAACCACTAAAATGCACTGCATCATCCACAACTGAAATGCAGCCACTCCTGCGATGAACTACAATAGCTTTTTAACAGCTCATTGCAACACTACATAATAGTTTAGATCAGGAAAGTCACTATTCTGTATGTTTGATTTTAAGTCTCAGTGTGTCCAAAATGAATTCATTTTTTAGTTCATAGAGATTCACTGTACTGTTTTTTTTTCCTGTATCCATGTGTAAATCAGACAAGATGCTATTAACTGTAACCTTTAAGGGCTATCTTCTAAAACAGAAATTCAAAAGTTCAGTCATAAGTGTAAAGCATTCAGTCTAAATCTAGACAAAACTAAAAATTTATATGGTGAAATTCCAGGGCTCGGTGTCTTCATCAGAGCCCATTGACAAAAGAATTTACCAGAAGCTAAAATGTTTGCCTCCAGAATTTAGTTATTTTAAGTTTATTCAAACTGAAATTAATAAATTTGTGCCAAAGTCTATGCAGATTTGTTTCTCAGTGAAACACAGGAATATCAGATTGGTTAACTAGAAGTACATAATACCATATATTAGAGACACAAGGTGGGGGAGTTAATATCTTTTATTGGACCAACTTATTTTGGTAAGAGAGACAAGCTTTCAAGCTTACACAGAGCTTTTCTTCAGACCTGGGAAACAGAGTGTCACAGCAAAATACAAAGTGGAACAGAGTGTTTAGCATAAGTAGTTAACACATATTCACGGGACCATTCAAGGTGAAGTGACCTGTTGACACCTTTCCAATCATAAGGGGAAGAGAAAGGAGAAGGAGGACAGGCAGCTAGTTGTCACCTACCATCCTATACTGGGAACCCATCTGAGGTATCCTCAAACAAGTACAACCCATATTCAATGGATACTCCATCCTGAAAGAAATATTTCCTGAACCCATTCTTCTGGCCTTCAAACAATCTCCAACCTCTCCAAGTTCATTATCAGAAGCAAGCTCCCCATAGAACCAGGACACATCAGCCCCAAAGCGGCACCAGACCCTGCCAGAACAACAGATGCAAGACCTGGAGACATATCTCCACTGCTACAATCAACAACATACTCCATAACACACCTCTCAATATCCTTGGGTACTACACATGCATATCACAGCATGTGGTGTACCTCATCCAGTGCACTAAATGCCCCAATGACAACTATGTGAGTGAAACCAGGCAGTCACTACGCTCTTGAATGAACTCACACAGGAAAATGATAAAAGACAAAACACAACATCACCTGTGGGTGAACACTTTTCACAGACCTATCTGTGATATCTGACCTATCAGTCCTTATTCTCAAAGGAAACCTGCACAAAACTTTCAGAAAACTAGCGTGGGAGCTTAAATTTGTAACTTTGCTAGACACTAAAAATCATGGACTGAATAGACACAAAAAGAAAAGGAGTACTTGTGGCACCTTAGAGACTAACCAATTTATTTGAGCATAAGCTTTCGTGAGCTACAGCTTATTTCATCGGATGCATACTGTGGAAAGTGTAAAAGATCTTTGTATATACACACAAAGCATGAAAAAATACCTCCTCCCACCCCACTCTCCTGCTGGTAATAGCTTATCTAAAGTGATCACTCTCCTTACAATGTGTATGATAATCAAGTTGGGCCATTTCCAGCACAAATCCAGGTTTTCTCACACCCCCCCCCGCCCCCCTCCACACACACAAACCCACTCTCCTGCTGGTAATAGCTTGTCTAAAGAGACCACTCTCCTTACAATGTGTATGATAATCAAGGTGGGCCATTTCCAGCACAAATCCAGGGTTTAACAAGAACATCTGGGGGGGGGGGGAGGAAAAAACAAGGGGAAATAGGTTACCTTGCATAATGACTTAGCCACTCCCAGTCTCTATTCAAGCCTAAGTTAATTGTATCCAATTTGCAAATGAATTCCAATTCAACAGTTTCTCGCTAAAGTCTGGATTTGAAGTTTTTTTGTTGTAATATAGCAACTTTCATGTCTGTAATCGCGTGACCAGAGAGATTGAAGTGTTCTCTGACTGGTTTATGAATGTTATAATTCTTGACGTCTGATTTGTGTCCATTTATTCTTTTACGTAGAGACTGTCCAGTTTGACCAGTGTACATGGCAGAGGGGCATTGCTGGCACATGATGGCATATATCACATTGGTGGATGTGCAGGTGAACAAGCCTCTGATAGTGTGGCTGATGTTATTAGGCCCTGTGATGGTGTCCCCTGAATAGATATGTGGGCACAGTTGGCAACGGACTTTGTTGTAAGGATAGGTTCCTGGGTTAGTGGTTCTGTTGTGTGGTATGTGGTTTCTGGTGAGTATTTGCTTCAGGTTGGGGGGCTGTCTGTAGGCAAGGACTGGCCTGTCTCCCAAGATTTGTGAGAGTGTTGGGTCATCCTTCAGGATAGGTTGTAGATCCTTAATAATGCGTTGGAGGGGTTTTAGTTGGGGGCTGAAGGTGACGGCTAGTGGCGTTCTGTTATTTTCTTTGTTAGGCCTGTCCTGTAGTAGGTGACTTCTGGGAACTCTTCTGGCTCTATCAATCTGTTTCTTCACTTCCGCAGGTGGGTATTGTAGTTGTAAGAATGCTTGATAGAGATCTTGTAGGTGTTTGTCTCTGTCTGAGGGGTTGGAGCAAATGCGGTTGTATCGCAGAGCTTGGCTGTAGACGATTGATCATGTGGTGTGGTCAGGGTGAAAGCTGGAGGCATGTAGGTAGGAATAGCGGTCAGTAGGTTTCCGGTATAGGGTGGTGTTTATGTGACCATTGTTTATTAGCACTGTAGTGTCCAAGAAGTGGATCTCTTGTGTGGACTGGACCAGGCTGAGGTTGATGGTGGGATGGAAATTGTTGAAATCATGGTGGAATTCCTCAAGGGCTTCTTTTCCATGGGTCCAGATGATGAAGATGTCATCAATATAGTGCAAGTAGAGTAGGGGCGTTAGGGGACAAGAGCTGAGGAAGCGTTGTTCTAAGTCAGCCATAAAAACGTTGACATACTGTGGGGCCATGCGGGTACCCATAGCAGTGCCGCTGATCTGAAGGTATACATTGTTCCCAAATGTAAAATAGTTATGGGTAAGGACAAAGTCACAAAGTTCAGCAACCAGGTTAGCCGTGACATTATCGGGGATAGTGTTCTTGACGGCTTGTTGTCCATCTTTGTGTGGAATGTTGGTGTAGAGGGCTTCTACATCCATAGTGGCCAGGATGGTGTTATCAGGAAGATCACCGATGGATTGTAGTTTCCTCAGGAAGTCAGTGGTGTCTCGAAGGTAGCTGGGAGTGCTGGTAGCGTAGGGCCTGAGGAGGGAGTCTACATAGCCAGACAATCCTGCTGTCAGGATGCCAATGCCTGAGATGATGGGGCGCCCAGGATTTCCAGGTTTATGGATCTTGGGTAGTAGATAGAATATCCCAGGTCAGGGTTCCAGGGGTGTGTCTGTGTGGATTTGATCTTGTGCTTTTTCAGGGAGTTTCTTGAGCAAATGCTGTAGTTTCTTTTGGTAACTCTCAGTGGGATCAGAGGGTAAAGGGTCATTATGCAAGGTAACCTATTTCCCCTTTTTTTTTCCTACCCCCCTCCCCCCCGATGTTCTTGTTTAACCCTGGATTTGTGCTGGAAATGGCCCACCTTGATTATCAGACTCATTGTAAGGAGAGGTTTCAGAGTAACAGCCGTGTTAGTCTGTATTCGCAAAAAGAAAAGGAGGACTTGTGGCACCTTAGAGACTAACCAATTTATTTGAGCATAAGCTTTCGGGAGCTACAGCTCACTTCATCGGATGCATACTGTGGAAAGTGTAGAAGATCTTTTTATATACACACAAAGCATGAAAAAATACCTCCTCCCATCCTACTCTCCTGCTGGTAATAGCTTACCTAAAGTGACCACTCTCCTTACAATAAGAAAAGGAGTACTTGTGGCACCTTAGAGACTAACTGTCTCTAAGGTGCCACAAGTACTCCTTTTCTTTTTGCGAATACAGACTAACACGGCTGTTACTCTGAATAGACACACTGGATCTATGGCTTATTACAACAATCTATAACCTCTTGGGGGACGCTAGCCATGCAGCCCCACCCCTTCTGCCCCAGGCCCCACCCCTACCATCTGCCAGAACACTAATCTATGCTTTAGACATACTGTAGGTGGGAAAAAAATGTAAAATTAAACCTATATTGTGAAAAACTGAAATGCTGTTTTACAATGGAAGCACTTAGGCAATCTTGACTATAGACCTCACAATGTACTCTGTCTGGGTTTTCAGTTCCAAACTTAAGACAATGAACTATGAAGAGTGCAGAGTTTCCTGTTCACTAACTTTGGCCCCAGTCTTGGATTGGGATTCATTAGCATAAGCCTTTGCAGAGATCCCACTGAAGTAAGGAGCTGTGCTTATATTAAGTAACCACTCAGTGGACAAACAACAAAGGTTGTCTCCTGAGGGAGATGCTCTTTTTTAATTAAAGGTGGGTGAGAATTTCATGTACAAAGTTGAAGACAATCCAATGCAAGATCAGTTCCTTTGTCTTTACAGATGTATAACTTATGGGCATTTGAGTCCAAAGCATTATTCAGGAGGCTGGCTACAGACAAACAGCACAAAATTCCCCTTTCAGAGGGCAACTCTCTGAAGTCATGAGTGTGTCAGGTGTGGGGCTTGCACCTGCTTGCCATAGGAAGTGGGGAGGTGGTGTGGAGGCAGGCTTCTGCTATGCGATGTCTATTCTCCACAAGTATAGGATCTGTTAAAAGACCGTAAGTAGATTTTACAGCTGACTGTCAGCAGTTCTAACTGATGTCAGGAGCCGTGTCTCTGACACTCTGCTCTCACTCCTGTGCTGAGCACAGAATTGATCCAGGAGAGATTCTGCTCTGTAATCTCTCAGTGACGGTAATATTACATTGCAAGTGCTTGGAGATATCTTGGATGGGTGTTTAATGAATGTGGTTTTATTATGTTCTCTCACCAGCTATCATGTGTAAAACCCTTAATAGTTTACATTTCTTTTTCAGGAAAGGAAAGTTGTTTTGAGCGAATAATTCAAAGATTTGGAAGAAAAGTAGTGTATGTTGTTATAGGTGATGGCGTGGAAGAAGAACAAGGAGCAAAAAAGGTAGTAATTCTTTTTCAGTGCAGTTTTATTTCAAGTCTTTGAAAGTAAATATGTGCATTTTCTCACACCTGGGATTGTATGCATCGGGGTTGATTGTGATCTCAGATCTATAATTGTGTAGCGTTACAAAATTAGAACATTTTGACTGATGGTCTAGTAACACACTCTACTTAAAATTCTAGTTGGGTCTGGGATATTGCTGTCCTCCAAAAGATGCATTAGGGTAGCTATGTGTATCCAATATATCCGTATGAAGGATGTTAAGTATGGATTCTGGTTTGACTAAAACTGATAATTCCACTTCTCTAAATGGCATCCCCCAATGCCATGAAATATAATAAACTTAAGCACAGCTATTACAATTTGTGGTGTTTAGATACATCGCATTGTTTTGTGAATTTTATACCTTGAAAGAGTATCTGAGAAATGGAGCATATACGTTAATGTTGACCTCAGCTCATGTCAGCTGTACCTAAATTGGGAGCCTGCATTTTCGGCCAAATATTGGTTATTTCTTGCTATTCTAATCCCTGTTGCTTTAGCTCTGGCAGAAGATGCAGTTGAATCTCTTATTACATGTTTTTTCCTTTCTCCATTAGGAAGGGAAAATATCACGGTCTCTTCTCTTGCAATGTGGAGTGGGCATCTCAAAAAGCAACACTTTGTCTTACTGCTAGGAGTTACTACTGAATATGTCAATCTAATAGAGTGCAGGGGGAGAGGGGCTGGTCTAAGGTCTTTGACTGAAACCATAGAATATTATCCTAGCAAGTACAAAGAGAAGAAAAAATGGGAGCAAGGAGGTTTATCTTGCCTCATTTTCCTTGTAAATTGCCTTTCCATACGCTCTCTCTTTCCCAGCTTAACTTGAAAATCCCAGTGGCGATACTATATCTTTCTAGTAACCATTTTTCAAAGCTTTCCGAATGGAGAGATTAAACTAATTACACCACATGGCAATTTTACAAGATGTGACACTGAATAGTTTTGCAACATGAAATACCAACTTACATCCCTCTGAAACTTTCTGTGTAGTTTCCCATCTCGTTACATCAGTTTGCGAACTTGTCAGTTTCATGTGTCCCTTTGGCACACTAAAATGAACAGATTCCTCCTTTCTCCCTTCAGAAATGCCTTTAATCTTTTGCAGAGAAGTTTTCTGCTGTAAATGATTACATTTTAACAGCTACATTTAAGACCAGGAAAAGCTGTTGTCTTTGTTCCTTTCCATTGCTCAGTGAAGTAGTATTCCATGTAACGGTGACAAAAGTACTTCTTTCAGTAACGCCTAATTCAGCGGTTTTTAACTGGAAACGCCATGCAGGAAGGCCTAACTAAGAAAGCCTTCCCATTTGTTAAATGAAGAGGTAGTAGAGAAAGTTCCCTTGGAGCATTTGTTCCATGTGTTCTTTGTTGCTGGAAGGAATGTTCAGATTTGGAGAATGTAGGAAGCTGAGGATCTACTTTCTCTGCTCCAGAGTGAGATTGTGACTCAAAGGTACAGTCTCTCTGTGAGATTCCCTGCTGCTCTGGGAAGGGAGTAAACGTCACCTGGTCCAATGTGCACTCCCTGGTGCATTGGCACAGCTAAAATGGCTGCCCCATTGTGGGGGCAGAGCTAAGGTGCCACCTGTTCTGCCTGCCTGTGTGAACTGGGAACAACACAGTGGCTCCGCAAAGTCTACCCATGTTGTGGGTAACAAGGACGAGTAGGTGAGATGGGTGCCTTGCCCTCCGTTCTGCCCCAGAGCCACCATGCTAGCTAGACCTTAATTTGACCCAAAATGATTAGATATGTGAACGATAAACACAGGGGAAAAACTGTTCAGTTCTGAAGAATTATATAAATCAGCACACTGTAGCAATACTAGAAGCACTCAACATTCGAGTACATATTTGTGTTCAGATATATTATGCTTAAATAAGGAGAGATAAAACTCTGTTATACTATAAAAACACTTAACCTTCCACACACAGAAGCACCAACAAAATGGTAGAAGGTTTATAATAATAAAAATAAAAACTTGACAAAAATGGAGACACCTATTAGAGTACCCCGCTCTTCCACGTAACTTTTTACCACGTTCCATCCTACCTTCCCACCAATAATCTGTGTGTTTGTGAGTTTTTCAGGGAAGCCACTGTCTTTTTATTATCCCATTGTCCGTCAAGTAGCATTCCATGCTTTGGTCCACGATTGAAGGCCCCTACATAGTACTGCTCAATAATAAATATAAACTTTTTATAAACCAGGGTTCTTTTCTTTTTCCCTGTTTGTAAAGCATTTACCACTCCAGTGATGCTGTATAATGAACAATATTGTTTTATTCATCAAGACTTCTGTAATTTATTAAAATAGCCAACCTATGTACTTCACAGATTTTTATTTTCTGTTCCAGTACTGAACAGTGATGAACTTCCAGATTAGTAAGTGAGAAAATGAGGGTCCGTATTAAAAACCACTTCACTAACAAACAGACCTGTTGTTTCATCATAGAAGGGTGGTAAAATATTCCTACAAGCATAGGTGCTGGAACTAGGGGTGCTGGGGATGCTGCCGCACCCCCTGGCTTGAAGTGGTTTCCCTCAGATACAGGATTTACAGTTTGGTTCAATGGCTCTCAGCACCCCCACTATACAAATTGTTCCAGCACCCCTGCCTACAAGTCCTTTATTTACTGAAAATGCTAGTTCAGTACACAGGTGATGGATGTTTAAAATGTATCTAAAATAAATTATTGTAATTATTATAAAACTGAGTCAGTAAATACATTAAATTAAGTTTATACAGTGTACAGTTATTTTTAAAAAGATTTTCATAATCCACATTTTTTCACATTTCCTTTTGATTGATGAAAATAAGTGTGATACACTAGGGACACTGCACCCTCTTATATTTCACTTAGCATTGGATAAGTCATGGTATTGTCACCTTTCCCTAAACCATTATTTCCTGAAAACTCATTTTTATAAGACAGTTGAAATACTCAGGCCTTCATGTTCATAGTACAGACCAAGGAGCAAAAGTAAATTGTGGAGCCTTCTCTAGATCAAAACACAGAACACTTGATGTAGTTAGTATTTTAGAGTTCAAAGTCATGCCACATGAAGGTTGCTGTCTTCCTGCATCTGAAGGCTGCTAAAGTGACACAGTAGATACCAAAATAAGGTGACTTTTTTGCAAGAAAACCTGCTGTCTTGTCCCAGCCACTATCACAACACAACTCAATTTTTGTTACCACAGGCACTGTTCTTAGGTTATAGGTTAAAGGCTTTAGGTTCTTTTAGGTCAGTCAGTTCTCTATCTGTAAAATGGCAATAATGCTTCTCCACCTCACAGGGGAGATATGAGAATAAATTCATTAATATTTGTGATTCATCATATACTATAATGATGGATATTCAACACAGCCACTATTTAATAACTCACAGCACACTTCACATTTTTATTTCAGGACAGGAAGTGAAGACTGTCATATCTAGTTGATATCATTGGATATTTTAAATAGTCAGAATGTAATAAACCCACATTTCAGTTTGACCAAAACACTGGGGATAAATTTGCCATCCTTTCAGAGGATTAGAACTTGGATCTGGAATGACCACAGGACCAGAAGGGAAGATGTAGGTCCTATGATTTGTCAGAAAATTGTCACCTACAACAGCACAGTATATCTTAGCACAGTACACTGGTCTTAGCTAAGTACTTATTCAGGTGCTCCATCACCTCTTCCAGCATCTAAGGAAGTGTTTCTACAAGGTATTGATTAGTCCCTAATCTGCTGAGTGAGGTCTAACAGAACCACAGCACAAGGCGGCATGACTGAAGGCACAAATGTGTGGGCTTTTTATTCATATTCCCTACAAAATTCCAGGTATAAATTTCTTTGTCATGAGCAAATACTTCTTTCAGGAAATAGAGATGTCATTTACAATTTGTCCTTCAGTGCTATGCAATCGAAAAATGGTTTCTTTTGCAAAAATATTTGAAACAACAAGATTTTTCACTTTGTTCAGAATTATTACTTTTGTTTTGTTTTGTGCTTGATAGAAAAAATTGAGAGTTTATTTCTTGTTTCAAAAAGGGAAATTCCCACTTTTTTATTTTTTATATTTCCTACATTAAAAGGTGAATTGGATTTTACTCAGAATGTCAAAATGAAAAAATTTGACATGTCAACATTTTTTATTTCAAAGGTTCATCACAAAATTGAAACATTTTGAAAAAATGATTTTCTTCAGCAAAAAATTATCAGGCTCCCATTTTTTTTTATTTCAAAATCTTTGTTGAAAAAATTACAACCAGCTCTATTGCATAATATATAAGTTTTAATAGGCAAAATGTTCAGACTTACTTACAGATATTATGGAAATCTCATTTTGACCACTAAAATTATAATAGAGGTAGGTACATGGAATCATGAGACTGGAAGAGACCCCGAAAGGTCTTCTAGTCCAGTGCCCTGTACTCAGGGCTGGACTAAGTATTATCTAGACCACTCCTGACAGGTGTTTGCTTAAGTTGCTCTTAAAAATCTCCAATTACAGAGATTCCACAACCTCCCTGGGCAATTTATTCCAATGCTTAACTACCCCGACAGGGAAGTATTTCCTAATGTCCAACCTAAACCGCCCTTGCTGCAGTTTAAGCCCATTGCTTCTTGTCCTATCCTTGGAGTTAAGGAGAAAAAATATTCACACACATCCTTGTAACAATCATTTGTTCTTATTCGGTTTCATCCAATTTACTTAAGACCTTTTCTCCAGTTTGTCCAGATCATTTTGAATTTTAATCCTGTCCTCCAAAGCAATTGCAACCCCTCCCATCTTGGCATCATCCACAGACTTTATAAGTGTACTCTCTCTGCCATTATCTAAATCATTGATGAAGATATTATACAGAACTGGACCCAGGACCAATATCTGCAGGACCCACTGAATATGCTCTTCCAGCTTGACTATGAACCACTGATGATTACTCTCCGAGAATGGTTTTCCAACCAGTTATGAACCCACCTATAGTAGCTCCATCTAGGTTGTATTTACCTTGTTTGTTTATGAGACGGTCATGCGAGACAGTATCAAAAGCCTTACTAAAGTCAAGATATACCATGTCTACTGCTTCCCCCCCCCCATCCACAAGGATTGTTACCCTGTCAAAGAAAGCTATTAGGTTCGTTTGACATGATTTGCTCTTGACAAATCCATGCTGACTGTTACTTATCACCTTATTATCTTCTAGGTGTCTGCAAATTGATTGCTTGAAAATATGCTCCATAATCTTTACATGTTACACTAGTCAACAATTATGTTTACTGTATTCCACATTTTTATCAGATATTAATGCAATCCAGTTACATTCACTGCCATTAGGCATAGTATTTGCCATCCAGCAGTATGTGAAGTATTACCGTTGCTCAATATGCTTAGAATAGAAAATACCTGAAGTATATCAGATTCCACTGTGTGGTAACTGTTAGCAAAAGCTTACTTTTTAAAGGCAATGTCTGTCAAATACCTATGAAAATAAACCAATGAAAGCCCTTCCTTCCTGGTCACCCAGTGAAAAAAGCAAATGCTTTGAGGCTGGGTCCCAGAGCTGTGTTGCTATTTTCAACGAGTTGGATTTGTCATTATCTGCTCATTTTATAGTGTTTTATAGGGGTTTGCTAATCTGGGAGTGTTTTTCTCTGTGATAGAGTATTATTATGAATGTTTGGCTTGTAGGGTATATACTACCAAAAGATGAAGGTGCATTGATAGATTTGTACAATAACTTATGTTACCTTATTTAAGGTGAATTTTTTTTATTTTATTTATTTATTTATGAACCACAGCAAGAATTCCTCTCCCCCCCCCCTCCCCCCCCGAGATGCAGTATAAAATGTATACCACTGAGTGAAATTCATAGTGATCTGATCTTGCCAGGTCAGACCTGTAAACAAAATTCCAGTGTAAATTGACGTATGCTTGCAGCTACAGCATTCCTGGCATGTTTCCGTTGTTGGCAATGTTAACCAGGGGCCCTTTTGGCCTACATACAGAAGGCTTGAACATAATTATAATGCCGAGCATTTACATAACTTTTTCATAGGCCTTTTCAAGAATAATTAATCCTCACAATACTCCTTTCTGATACATAAGTAGAATTATCCCTGCTTTACAGATAGGGAAACTAAGGCAAAGAGAATTTAAATGATTTTTCCAAGACCATTCAGTAGCTCAGAAATAGCCCCATGGAGATTTTGGTCCTGAATCACATCCCAGACTACAGAGACTAATCCATTACCTATACTGCATCTGGACAGTACTGTGATTGTTGGAGCTTGATGGAGGTATGCCTAGTTGTTAGGAGGGCCGGTTCTTTTTTAATGCAGAAGGGTGTTCATAGGGGGAGCCCAGGTCGTCCCACTCCACTGGGCTTTTGTCCGGGGCCCTGTGTGGGTTAGCAAAGACCAGGCACCCCAAGGCCGTTTTACAGCTGTCCTCCCTGGGCCACCTCCAGCATCCCACTCTGTAATCCAAGCTTCTGAGCTATCTGACTTCCTTTTGAGCTCCACCTCCATCTGGAGCATGCTCTGCAGGTGTGGGTGGGATCGTCTGGGTCTAGAGTTGTTCTTTAACCACTTCAGCCCTAGTGTGGGGTGTATACACCCCATCACAAGTACAAAGGAGTAACGGTGACTTAATTTATTAAATAGTTTGACACAAGTTCTTTAGATGCTCCACATATCTGATGAGTACCCAGTATGACACTAGGGAGTATTACTTGGGAGGCAGTATGATCAAGGGGGCTGAACATGGAGTTGAGAGCCAGTAACACCTGACTACAATCCTACTTGTGCCATTCATTCATTTCTCTTTGGCTCTTGACTTCTTAGTAAATAGCAAGATATTTTCCACCATGTCAGTCACCATGCTCCATCTGCTATACATTGTTTGCTCATCTTTCCCTGGCATAATTGAGTGGGGAGACCTGGTGCCATGCTTGATTCAAAAAGAGAAGCAGGGAACTGAGGTTCCTAGTTGGCCAATCAGAGAAGAAGGAGAAGTTGTGCCTAGCACTAGGCAGAGAGCACTCATGGGAGAAAAGCTGGATGGGGACAAAGGAGGAGAACTCCGGCAGCTCAAGTGAGGTGCAAAAATAAATGGGTGAAAATGCAGCCAGCTCAACTAGAACAGCCTAAACCTGATGTGAACATAAACACTTCTGTCTTGGGCATTGTTGGGCACCAACAATGTTTTTGGTATTGTGCAAGTCATACGGTGTTGACAGTTCCTGCAACAAAGATCTTGCTGTCTAAGTAAAATAGACACAGAGAAGACAAGATACACTGGGAAGCCCAGATTGAATAATTAGCAACTTTTTCCCCTGAACCTTACTGTTGACTTATTTTGTGACTTTAGGAGGGATTTGGATGAAAATGTGGGAAGAGAAATGGCTTTGCAGACCAGGAGAGGGAGGTTATTGCATGCATACGGGGTAATGTGGAAATCGGCATTGAGACGGTCATGTTGGAAAAGAATGACCAGGACATCTGGCTGCCATTGCTGATGGAGCTTGGCATGGAGATGACACAATGGGAATCTAGGTTGAAGATATAGAGATTTTCTGTCCTCTAGTTAGTTGACCATTTAGCCCTTCTCTGAGGAAAGGGCTAGTGTTTCTAGATCTCTTAGAAGAAGGTTAAGCATATACTTGTGCTTTGCTATGCTTCTCTGGAATTCTGCTCCCAAAATACCTTAAAGTACCCTAGTGTCTCTGCAAATCAATGGCTCATTTGTTGCTCTTCAGGTTGAAATGCAGTTAGCTCTTTTTCAAGGCTTTGTGACAATCTGAAAAAGCTAGAGTTCCCCTCTGCCTTTCCATCAGGCTTCAAAATTTTTTTTTTCTTCTTATAAAGCTCACCTGCTCTGTATTACAACATTTGTGGAAGCTGGCTGCCTGTGTTTTCTCCCCACTTTTGCCCTACACTCATTTCTCAGTCTTCAGCTACCCCAGGGCTCCCTGATGTTCCTTTGCCAGTTGATTAACACACACTCCAGCAAGGTCCTGCTGCAGCATGGTATTTCACTCCATAGTGGAGCAATGGTTGCTTGTTTTCAGTTTCCTCAACAGGCAATATCAGTTGTTTCTTGAGGCTGGGATTTTGAAAGAAGCCTACGTAAATTAGGCACTCCCGTTTATTTTCAAAGAGATTTACACGCCTACCTATCTTTAAGCTCCTTATTTTTCCAGTCTTATTTTTTTCAGTCCAACCCAGATCATCATGATGTTATTGCCAGGCTTGCAATGACATTCTTCCACAGTTATTCATTGCGTACACAGTGGTTTATACAAAACTCTCCAGACAAATAACAAATTATAGACCCATTTTGAGGATCTTACCATCTAAATTGCATAAAGTAACATATTAATGGTTTACAATAAACAAGGCACTAGAGAGCGTGTAAGGGATCTCTGAGATTTCAAGACTGATGTATAGCTAGACAGCATGTAAATTAGGAGAAGTGACCAGAATGAAAGCCAGAGAGAAGATGCACTGTAAGGACAACCATGAGTAAAATCCTGGTTTTGCTGTTGACTTCATTAGGACCAGGATTTCACTCTGAACTTCTGAGGAGGGATTTGAAGGAGAATAAAGTTACATGCCCCAGAAAGTGTTCTTAAAATGCCACCGAATCCCAGAAGCCATTGTAATGCCTACATTGTTCTCAGTGTGTGTGCTCAAATCAGCTGGCTGTGAGTTGAACCAATGAAATACTAAACATGTTCATTGTAGCCTTGAAATTATTTGGTGCATTGAAGCAATTTTCCTTTGGGATGAATGGAATATTTTCTCTGACAGAGGAGATTATCTTTCTTTTATTTACGAAAAACTTCTTGCTGACACTGTAGTGCCTACTTTGCAGCTTAAGGATAGTGAGTTTTCACAATCAGCTATTTTACCCTTCATGGATGATGTAATATGTGTTTGTCCCCCTGGTATTCATGTCTTTAGTTTATTCAGGTGTCTTGCAAATATGTTCAAGATTTAGACCTAGACTTCTTTTTTCAGCTAATGGGGAAAAAATTAAACATTCATTTTAAAATTCTCCTACATGGAAAAGTTGTTTTAAGGTCAGTGCAAACAATAACCAGCATAATACAAACCACCAGGAAAAAATTACTTTCTGCATGATTTGAATAGCATATTGATGTATTCTGAATCACTGCCAATGAGTTGTTTAACTCACCTGCCAATAATAGTTTCTCAAAGACTAAACATGTTTTGACAGTAGACAAGTTTATCTTCTTTTTTTTTTTTTTTTGTCAACAAGTTTAATCATTTTTTGATATATCCATATATTTCATCTGCAGGATAGAATGTTTTCTGTGTTTCTATAGAAATATATTTTGTATTTCAGAAACGTACCTAATCCTTTTTTTTAGAAAAAGGAACTAAAAAAATTACTCTTTAAATAAGGCCTACAAATGTGATTTTAAAAAAAAATAGATTTGATGTTACTGAGAATTCAAGTTAGAAGCACTGAGAAATATTGATGAGAAGAGAGGTTATAATTATTATAGCTCATCTTGAGTCATACATAGTTAGAGAGCAGCTGAAGTATTGCTGTCCTCTTGCAGTGTTACCTTATTCTTGCAAGAGACAATGAGATGAGTTTGCAGACCAGAATGCCCAGGTTTTTGACATTGTGTTTCTTCTGTTCATAGCATGCCATGCCATTTTGGAGGATCTCAAGCCACTCTGACCTTATGGCCCTTCATCATGCCTTGGAACTGGAGTACTTGTAGCAGCTTAGCAGCACTTTGAAACCCCAGAACCTCCCTTATGCCCATGGACAGTATGCCTGTGTCTTGTGTCAGCATTGGACTACAGAATTTTGTGATTTCAACATGTTGATGTACAGCTGCAATTGGTCTTAACTTTTGCCCTTTCAGTAAATGGAGGAGCATGCCTTTTTCTTCAGAACAGCTGTTGACTCTAGTATTGCGAATCCAATGAAAACAAGCCATGAGAATGTTTTAACAGCGCATTTTACCACATTTGATACAAAAAAACAAAAGGTTCATACCTGTGAAGAAAGAAAGGACCTGCAAATGCTTTGTAGTTTTTAGAATCTTCAATGTGACACACACAGCTTCTTCAACACAGTAAACTTGATTGCACAATGAAGACTGAATTTTTCAAAATACCAGTGGAGTAATTTTCTTGTAAAGAAGGTTTACTTTTTTGGTTTCTCATACCCAGGGTACTCTGTACATCTTTACTTATTTATGAACAGACTGTGTTTTGACATCATATAACTGAGGATACATATGATAGGATTAAAGGCTATTTATAAGCCTTTGTCTCATGATACAGCAAACACTTTTGATTTTAGCACATTGCAAAGTAGTCTAAAGTATGTCTAATTTAAACAAATAGGTACATCACTGAGACAATCATGTACAGGAAGAATTTTTTGTGTAAATTTGTAATAATGGATGATTCTTTTACATATTGGTTAAGTAAATGCTATTGAGAGGTAGTAATGCCTTGTTGATGAAGTCTGAGGCAATGTGTACACAGCTATTGTGCAGTGCCTTATCAGAGTGTTGGGTATAAATATGTAGATAATGGATTTTTTAGATAAATTTGTCAAGACCAAAAGCATGGATGTCAAGTGTCAATAAGGAATTTGTTGTTGTTTTTCAGCTATTTTCTCTTTTTCCCCCTCAGCTATTCTGACTATAAAATGATGGTTACCATGTGTCCCCATTAAACACATACACAGAGCTACACAACTTAATTGAAGAGGAGTTCCTTACTGTCTTTCATTTTCTGTTTTAATGCTCATGTATTAAATCTCCTTAAAAAATTGAATAATGAACCAACAAACTCCTTCCATAAAAAGAAGTTACAGAATAGAAAATAATTATACAAGGGGTATTTGAGTTGGAGACTAACAAATCAAAGTTTTCATGTTGTCAGAAAATCAAAAATTACAGCATGTGCTTTGTTTCACGTAAGTTAGAAAAGAGTATTTTGGAGAAACTGAGCAAAACATAATTATATGCAGTGTACCCGCTTCAGTTTTTTTAATTCTCTTCCACCAGGAGTCAGATTTTCCTAGTGTGTAACATCCATTGCTGGCAATGGACACAATGAAATAGTTGTCACCAAGGATGTAAAATATCCATAGTCTATATTAATTTCTGTTATCAACGTAAACTCTGTCTGATCTATGAGTTGTGACTTTTTTAAATCTTACAGGCCATGAGCAATGTGGTCAGTTAAACTGAGTCTGACATCTTGGCCTGAATTGTACCAGTTCCCTTTCCCTGATTTCCATCTTTTCATTAAAAAGAAACCTCAGCTTTGTTGGTTCATTCTTCAAAATTTTACTCCCCGTTTCCTCCCACCCCACCCCCCAAAAAACAACACCAGCCTTTTAAACAGCTACCTGCAAAGCACCAAAGTAGCTGTGAAGCAACACCCTCCTGTGTTGGAGTATTCATATTGCTGCTAGTTAATCATTTGTGGATTTTCCAAATTGCTTAATTACCAACTAAGGCCCCTGTCTCGCTAAGACTTACACATGTGCTTCATTTTACACATTAGTGTGAGTAGTTCTAACAAAGTCAAGGGAATTACTCACAGTGCATAAAGTTTAAGCACATGGTGTGTCGTTCTTTTAGGATTGGGGCTATTATAATTAGATTTTTTTTCCTTTGCTTCAAGCAAAGTAGAGAGTGACAGTTTTTTGTCTTTTCAATTTTTGTAGTCGTTTTGCAGACTGAAAAAAAAACAGTTTATCTTGGCCTTATTGTACAAAAAAGTGTGTTGTGTCCACAATTGTGTACAGAATTTTTCTTCATTAATTTTGTGTTTTAAATTAATAAAATTGATTTGTGAACTAGTAAACCATCCTCTGAGACGTAAGTATTTGATTATTTTTGCCATAGGTTTTTTGCTGTCTCAAGAAGAAAAAAATGCTCACTTCTCTATGCTACCCAGATAAGAAGCTCTATAGAACAACCACCATGCCTTGGTAAAATACCTTGGCTGTAGAGGTGTAAACTAGATAGGCAGCAGCTGCTTCTCTGATCAGTGGGTGCTAGAGAAGAACAATATAGAATAACCCACAAGAATGGGAATCAGAGTGCACTGGCTCTTCATTTGTTTAAGCTTGTGACTGAATTTAGTCCTCATAAAAGCGAGGAACTTGGGGTCCATTGAAGTAGAAGAGAGTTGAAATTACCTGAGGCAAGCAATGAGTGGGTTACGGAATACACTAATCGCTCCTACCCCATATTTGTTGTGAGCTGCATGACTTTTCTTGCGCCTGTCCAGAGCAGCACTGTGGTGGTTTCCTGATGTGTACAAAGGGTGATTAGCACACAACTTGGATCAGCAAATTCACTTTCATTTTTGGCACTTAAATAGGTTTTGAAATTGTCTCTCCAAAGGGGAAAGGCTAATTCAATACTATACTAACCCCTGAGGCCGTCTTCTCTTTGGAAGTTATTACTGTTTTAGTCCATTACTTATACAAGTTGAGGGTGCTTAAGAAGGAACTTTCTCGGTCTCATAAAATATACATGTGTATTAATTTGTGCTATTGAAATCCAAAAAGTGAAATGAATTTTCCTTACAACTAGCATTGTACGACGTGCTCTGGCTCACGCATGGGGGTTGTAACCATATGGATTCCTGTAATTTGCTTTTTCAAAGTATGAGAAGCAAACCCCCTGCAGATTTGTTAGCATTTGGGAGTACTAAGTCTGAGTGGTTTTGGCAGAACTGGAAGCTGAAATTCACTAGCCAGCCATCCAGCCCTGATATAGGAGGCAGCTTTAAAATAAGCTGAGTTCCCTGACCCTCTCTATGTATGAGGTATGATTCAGTTGTGTTCCTCAATTTCTCAGGAGAAATGACGACCGCAAGCTCAGCTGAATTCTTTCTGGTGGTTTTGTTGTTTAGACTGCTGTATTACCATGATGTGTTTTAAAGGCATATCTCAAATTAGATTTAAACCAAGAACCCTAAATTGCAAGCACTACTTGGCTCCAGACATGTGCTTTCAGAAGGCAACTAGGCCTATAGCTGCAGATTACTTGACATTACACATGATGTTGAAAACTGTAGCCTACATAACCATATACCCTAGGCTGTGGATCAATCTCTTTGATACATGAACACACTCTCTCTCTCTCTCTCGCATTAAAAAATTGGTGCCTCAGGTCCCTTATTTTTAAAAAACTTTGACATCTTAAAATGATTTAAATGTACAGCACTGTAAAGTTTTGAAGGAAGAGATGCCCAGATGCTATATATTATTTTGTAGTAATCCATTCAAGCATTGAGGTTATAGTGGCAAAACACAAACACAGCATTTCAAATGTTTTCTTGCAAGGTAGAGATAAAATATGACTGTGCTTCCACCTCTGTCCCCCTTTTTTCCTTTAAAGCTAACTGTTGCTCCCTAACACATTAGAACAAACTGTGATTATCTGAAGATGATGCGTTTTGCATTAGACCCACAGTTAGATGGTCAGGGGCATGTTCTGTCTGTGGTATGTACCAAGCAGCATGAGAATCAATGGGGTCACTGAAATCCCCCTTGAAATCGTTGGGGTTTTGTAAAATAAAAATAAGTCCGAAAGATAGGTGAAGAATTGTTTTGCAATTAGTTGGTTGGCTTAAGTATGAAAATGTTCATAAGTATGTGAAGCCAGTTATGGCAGCCAAAAACCTATGGCAATAATTTCTTACTCCCCATTCTAATGAAGAGGGATGCAGGAAGTCACACAGAATTAAGATTGTTTTGTAATGCAATTCGCCTGCATGTGCTGTGTTTCCTTTTAGAAACAGTACTGCATAAAGTCCCCATTCATTTCTTAGAAGCTCATTGATAAGATGACCAGCTGCAGTAGTTCTACCTATAATAATTATATGTGTCCAAATTATTAGGACTGTTCCTTCAGGATAATGCCAAGGAGCTGGAATTAATAATTATTTGTGAAATGGGAGGAGTATATTGGTGCTTTGTAGACCTGTAAGAAGACAAAGTTGCTGTCCTCAAAAGCATACAATGTAAACTCATAAAACACTTTGGGTGTGTGGTTTCCCCTTTCGTCTCTCTAAATATTTCCTGTTTCTCTCAATTCCATGGTTTTTTTCAAATTCTGTCCCACAACCCTCCTCACCATACTCAGTGGGAGTTAGTTGTGTGTGCATCTCTGATGGCAGTGCTTGTAGCCTAACTGTGTCACTTATAAATAATGACAGGATGGTTTGTGATAGCTGAACCGGAAGTGTAGGTGGCTTTTTTACGTACCTTTTGGCTTTCTGACTTGGAAGCAGATTGTTTGAGAAAAGGACAATCTGAAGTTCACCAATACGCCCTCCGACCAAGCCAAGAGAAATGAAGAGAACGGTCCGCACAAGCCTTCCAGTCTTTCACGTTCAGCAAACATGGTGGGGGGAGAAGTAAATTTACTTTGTAGTAACTTTCATTTCCATTTCTATTTTTGGAGAGAATTTTCAGTGGTGCTAGATTGGTAGCAAAGTAAACTGAAGCCCTTTATTTCTCCACAGGAAAGGTATAGCATTGGGCAGCCACAATGTAAACAGCATACATTGACATGCAGCATTTAAAACTAAAAACCTAAGTACACATGGTGATCTAACTATATAGCAAAGGGTGGCATGAAGAGGGAAAAACTAAGCTGCCTGTCTGGAAATTTTCCTGACAGTGGGCTCCATTAGACTGTGGGATAATCTGCAAAGGGAAAGAATGGAAGCTACGTTGACTGAGACAATTAAAGGTAGACTGGACAAAGCATTAGAACATGTACTGAAGGGAATAGTGGCAGAGGATGGGCTAGCTGGCCTACCAGGTCTTTTACATCTCTAAATTTAAATTCTCTGGTTCCATGATGTGGTTTTGTTTGTGGAAGTGGTTAGAGGGCTAGCCTGAGACTTGGGAGAGGTGGATTTAATTTTGTGCTCTGCCACAGACTTCCTGTATGATCTTAGGCAAGTCACTTAGCCTCTCTCTGTGGTCTGTTCGATTGGTAAAATGGGGATAATGGTACTACTCTACCTCACAAGGGTGTTGTGGGGATAAATACATTAAAGATTGGGAGGTGCGCAGTCACGTAACTACCATAGATAGATAGATTTGAGATCAGGTTACCTTGCTGAGGGAATATCATTTGCTGATTCCAAGATCCCCTATGCAACAGTTCCACAGAAAGACAGGAAAAAATACAGAGATCTCAGTATTCATAATCATTTATTTTTCTCAGTGCACTAATTAAATTCCATTTGATGTTTTAAGCACTACCATTACTACATTATGTTGTACTACTCAGTGTTGGCAAAGCAGGCAACAAGCATGCTAGGCCAAGTCATTTCTCTTCATCTGGAGGCTCCTGTTTCACAATCTGGTACCAACCTTTTAGTCTGAATGTATTTCCTTCAGCAGGTAAGTAAACTAATGACCTCATCTATGCTTTCAGCAGTTGCATTATGCAACCAATAGAGTTGGGTCTATTTACTTTGTATGATGTTTTTCGTTAAGCTTTTTGTGTCAACGATCCAAAAGGCCTTTCTCTCTCAAACAACCTGAAGAGTTATTCTGAACAGTGGCATAATGTCAGGCATCCAGCAGCTGGCAAGCTGAAGTATAGGGACAAAGTCACAGGGACCACAACACTAGCTTTGAGGGCAGAGGCAATTATCTTTATCCTGTTTGTTCCCTTGGGTGTTTGGGCTCTTTCAGCAGTTTTACCAATTAAAGTGGTGCTAAAATGTTATCCTTTAGGATATGTTGTCTATAGTACAGAGCTGAGGACCTCTGAGAATTCTGAAAGAAAAAAGCAACATATCTATAGAAAACCAATGCTGGCAGAGGAGTACAAATGTCACAGTCTCATGAGTCCCACTTCTGCTGAGTAATTTAAAATAGCAGCGTGGTTCTGGGTAGATTTTTTTCCCCTCTTTGCAGCAAAGAAAATTGCAAAGCACTGTTGGTTTAAAAGAAAATATAAAGGTGCTATAGCAGGTTATAGTCTGACCCTTACCCTACATGATTTATTACGTCAGTAGCTACATCAGCAGCTGGATACTTCATCCATGCTCAGGAGTGTAAACAGTTGATTATATTTATGGAATTAAGGCAAGCATTTTCCACCCCTTTCCTCAATTTAGAGAAACTAAACAGGTTGGCCTTGAAATTTAGAATAGTAATATTGTTATAGAACACCTCGGCATGGGCTTCAAACAAAACCTTCCCTTCCTTCTGTGGACTTAAGTGAAGCTATATATATTTTACCCCGAGCAACCCTTGGCAAGCAGTGAACACAAAAAAGGAAGAAGAACACTTTCTTTCAAATCAAAGCTGTAAAGTGAATGAGACTGTATGGACTTAAGAGGTTTAATTAGGCGTGAATCCACTTGGAGCTGGAGTGTGTGTTTCCCAGCTAGAAGAGACATACCTGCACTAGCTTTGATTGAGCTAATATGCTAAAATTAGAGCCTTGCCACAAGCCGCGGGACCAACTAGCCGTCCTGATTACGTGCCTATGGCTTTCCCTACTGCCATGAAGGACCATGCCAAGAAGCCGCGCCTTCTGCAGCTATGGCAAAACATGCTCACAAGTTCACTAAACTGATTTTGACTGGCGAGTAATGACCAGCGGTAACTGAAAATGGAGACAATGAATTCAATAAAGGTACTCAGCAGATACATGAAATATTGCTCTAGATGGGATAGGGTACTCAGCACGGCAATGGCACAGTGCTGTTCAAACCCCTAGCATTAAACTGGCTAATCAAGTGAGATGGACAAGGACACACAACTGCTGCTGCTGCAAATGGGAGCCGCTATGCACATGTGATTGTGGTAAAGGAGGAAAATG